TTTAAAACAGATATTGTATGTGTTTGTGCGATTTTTGTATGTGTGAGTACTGCCGATAACTTTATACTTAACCAATTCACTAGTATCGTGGTCCGCTTGAACAATTAATATATTACAATTAATTAAGGTTTTCAGTTGAGATAAAAAAGTCAATGGCACGAGCGGGATTCGAACCCACGATCTTCGACTTGATACGCCGCTGCTGTACCACTTGAGCTATCGTGACTTCAATCCACTCGGACACTAACTTCCCATCTGAACCCCACCTTTTGAATTTTCCCTCTTTTTTGCCATTTTTCAAATATCGTGTAATCAATTTGATTCTCGGTGACGAATGAAATGGCTCTAGTGAAGGTATATTTCATTTTAAACTTATTAAATTCACTAGTTTCGTGGTCCGCTTGACCAATTAATATATTACAATTAATTAAGGTTTTCAGTTGAGATTAAAAAAATTGTCAAAAAGGAGGGAAAATTCAAAAGGTGTGGTTGAGATGGGAAGATGATGTCCGAGTGGATCGAGGTCACGATAGCTCAAGTGGTGGAGCAGCGGCGTATCAAGCCGAAGATCGTGGGTTCGAATCCCGCTCGTGCCATTGACTTTTTTATCTCAACTGACAACCTTAATTAATTGTAATTTATACTTAACCCTTAAACGTATACAAGTTATTTATAAGACGTTTATTTAAAAGGTCGTAGATTGTACAAACAAACATGTACACATAAAATATCACAGATTTAAACATAAAAACTAGTCGTTAATTGAACGAAACATATGAAGCGTGTTAAAAAAACAAAACAATGCCGATAAAGAACAAACAATTGAAAGTTGTTGGGAAAGAGAGCGTGAAATGCTGCCTAAGACGAAAAGAAAAGCACTATTAGAAAAGGCTTGTAATATATTATCGACCTTTTGTAACAATAAAGAACAAACAAAACATGTAAACACAGGCCAGTAAATGTTTCCCTACGAACAAATCATACAGATTTTTTTTCGGTAAACAAAAATAAAGGACGAACTGGTAATACATTATCTAATATCAGCCTGGCTATTTGCATAATTCTACTTCATCCGTATGATAGTTGATTATTTGTAGATAATAACAGGCTAACTTGGTTGGCATAAAGAAAATTGGTCTCTGTAACATCCCGGAGCTGAAATAATTGTTCTTCACCAGAATGGTACCGTTGAAAATATAATGTTTTGTGATAAGTTAAGATCATAATCAACGAATTAGTAGGTAATAATCAATTTAACTTATATATAGAGGTGGATGTTTAAAAAAATCATTTTCGTCTTTCATACCGGGCTCGATTTATATTAAAGATTTATTAACAAACATTAAGTCTGTTATTATTTTTTATTATTAGTTTGAAAATATATTTGAGTGTATTTGACTTTTAAATATGCAATGAGTAATATAATTTCAAGTTTTCAAAACTAGCAAAATTTTGGAATAGGATAAACAAATGTTAAGCGAAAGCATAATTAACACTTTAGCCAAAGTCCAATTTTTACCTTGACCTTTACCTGGCCTTAAACACAAAGTTCCGACATAATAAACGGTTTCGAATATAATCGGCCAGGGAAGGATTTGGTCACACTGGGATAGGTGCAATAAAGAAATTAAATTATTTAGCACATAGACATGAAGGAGAAATGAATTATAGTCATAAAAGAACCTCAAGGTAAAGCTAAACAGCAATCAGAGAAATTATTTCATCAAGTATTTACTACAGGGGAGCAAAAAAAAAATTGCTCAGCCGAGTTGATCCCCGAGTTGTGCAATTTGCTTTTGAAGTCGGGCCGAATCGATACGATCTCGATTAGAGAAAGAGAAAGAAAAAAAGAGTGAGAGAGAGTGGGTGAGAGAGAAAGAGAAAGAGAGAGAGAGAGTGAGTGGGTGAGNGAGAGAGAGAGAGAGAGAGAGAGAGAGAGAGAGAGAGAGAGAGAGACGCTATTAGCCGCTTCAAACGAGTTGCTCAATATGTAAATGCCACATTGTGGAATATCCTAGGAACCGGTACCGTTACATTTAAAAGGAAAAACGATGAACAGACCTGGTTTGCACAGTTCAAGAGATGGAATCTATATATCGATGTATCGGTTTCAAGATATATCGAAAAGGAAATATTGTCTTCACCGATATATCTTGAAAAATATATCGATAAATAGATTAAGGTTATAAGCCTTTCGAGCATGTTTTACAAGTTGCCACTTCTTTTCCTTTTTCCGGTGCATTAAAATATTTCCAAATGATATAATGATTCCACTTTTTTGACTTTTTCCCGGGGACGGTGTCATCATAAAAATATATTTGAAAATTGTGCGCAGAAACGTAGATACAGATGACGATGCCGTCGCAGAAGGCAGAATGATCAGTTAGGTTGACCCATGTTTTTTTTTTTTTTTTTCAAATAGGGCGGTACAGCATGAACCCATGAAAAAGCATTTTAATGCAAAAGTTTTAAAATTTTGAAGTTTATATATTAAATGATGGTTGAACTGTCAAAGGTTTAGTTATTTTATTTAAAGTCGAACAAAAAAAATTACTTTTCAATTAATTAAGTTGATATAAAATTAAATTATTAAATTAAATTTTATTCTTTTTTAGTTAAATTATTAATTAATTGAAAATAATTTATTTGGTCAAGTGGATCAGGAAACCTAATAAAATGAAAAAAAATTACTTTACTTAGCAACTTATATTTAAGTTTGTAGAAGGTTGAATAACAAAGTTGTATAGATCCGGTTTCAATAATAAACGGATTTATTTAATAGATTAGGTCTATAAAAATAATATGGGTTTGTAAATTAAATCTTTAGGATTTTTTTGTTGGTAAATTCAATAAAATTTCAACCCCTTGCAAACAAATTTAATCATCCGTATATGAACTATTTTGTTCCACTACTTGTTGCCATGTTCTATGTAAATTTGAAATTTCATCCACCCCGAACTCACCAGGTTTTTGAACGATGAACTCCTAGGAATATTTTCTGCAGTCCGCAAATAACTTTTTTCTCATTAATACAATTTTGCAGGGCCCTGATTCATTTCAATTATGTGCAGTATACATAAAATTTAACGGTTATTAAATCCATTATATTTCGTTGTACGATTGACCAAATAACTTCTTTCGATTAATTAATCTTTATGTAAGGTATTGGTTGAAATGAAAAAGTAGTGTCACGGGCGGGATTCGAACCCACGACCTTCGGCTAAATCCGCCGCTGCTCTACCACTTGAGCTTTCGTGACTTCGATCCACTCGGACACCAACTTCCCATTTCACCCTACCTTTCGAATTTTCCGTCCATTGAACTTTGACGGTTATGTTGGACGGAAGAACTTCTAATTTAACCATATGCGCAGAATGAATCGGGAAGGTATCCGGTTTTTGTTGACTATTATCCGGAGCTGTTAAGGGTGCTGAGTTCCCCCAAGAATTTTCCCTTCTTCCGTAGTTATCAGTATTTTTAAAAATGGTTAGTTTATATTGCTTTTTAGGGCGGAATAGCTGATGAAATAGTCCGATAATCGTTCTGAGTCAAGATGTGAATATTTCATATACCCACCTGCTCTCAGATTCGTATATCCGCTCATATGAAATATGTTAAAAGTCTCAGCGATATCTCGGGTCAGTGAATGTGAATTTGTTGATTTGAGACTAAAGCTTGAATTTGGTCAAGGTTGTACCGAGCAAACTTCTTACCGACGTTGCTTTATTCTAAACCGTCATCACCATGCACATCGCAAATTTTCCTAGCAGTTCAACCTGCGGTTTTCATTTTTCTAAATTTTACTATGTATATGACGAAAAAACATTATTTTTCTCTTCATTTTAAATTTGCAAAAATGTCAAATTTCTAACGAAACTGACGAATAAAAACTAACCTCTTTTTGTTGGGTGTAAATAAATAAAGTTTAGTAAAGTGTGTCAAAACACAGGAGGAATAAATTCAATTTTTTTCAATCAAAAACTCAACGGATTTATTTTAGAATCCAATATTTATTATGACTTTTATAACTTTGATTTTGTGCAACGTGTAAATTTGATAACTAAAGATAAAGGGGCATTATCTTTTTGGTATTATGGTTTGGTACCTTATGAACAAGATCCTAGAATAAAATATTGATTGCAACAATTTGTAAAGTACAAAAACAATTCTGACATTATTTGGCATGTGATAAAACGTTGCAAATTGTTAGACCTAAAAAATCCTGATTTGATCTGACAATTAGGACCTTAAAAATAAAGAGGAATACAATCTACATTTTGTAGCCAACATGTTTTTTTTCCAAAATTTTCTCAAAAATAGTTTTCAATCTAAACTTCTATTAAAAAAAAACAACAACAGGTAAAATAGGTTTAAAAGGCAATAAAATGATATAATATTAATGCAAGTAAATATATCATTATATATGTACATCAATGTATCATCAATCATCAGACTTTTAATAAGCTTTTCTGGATATGATGAAAGTGTGCAATGAAAAAAGAAAATCTACCTTATATCAGTTAGTAACATGGCAGGTCGTTTACATAATTCTGCCAGTTCTAATTATCAATGATTTAATTATATTAATAAATATCTTAATTATAATATACTTTCGTTTTAATTATTTTGGACCCTAATCGAGTTTGTAAAATAGAAAATTTTAAACCTTTAAAGTTTTTAAACATCCTGAAAAATATTTTAATTTTTATGGATTTACCTTGGAAATAGAAAAAAAAACGTTAAATGCAGATAAATTGTCTGCCTTATAAAAACCTTTTTTTTTACCTCAAATAATTAGCGCTCAAGACGGAATTCAGCTGGATTTATACTTACGCTGACCTTCTAAACAAACTCCCCCCTCCCAAAAAAAAATATATATGTATGCAAGGTCACGTGACAATTGGATTTTAACATTAAAACGCCGGTTTGATATATTTTAAATTTAATAGGTTCATGAGAGTCGATAGATCATTCAACTTTTTTGTGTGTTTTTGTTGCAGAGGAATGGGTGACTAAAAAGAAGGTTGAAGTCGTAACGAAGCGTCAGATTGCGACCAGGGTGCAAAGAGAGGTGCTCCTCGAAGACGGAAAAGTTATTCAAGATTCCGGGCCCAAAGTGACAACAACCACAACAGAAGATACACAGAAACAAGAGTCCGAAAACACTGAGGTAAGGAAACAAATTCTTCCACAAATACGATTTTTTTTTGTGATGTTCTATTTCAATAACTATTTTTTCTGCTTCGTCTTTAAGTCGCAAAATAATAAATATAAAAAATATTGATCACATTGTTAAACAATTATAGGAAATTTCTTAGGAAAATTATTGAGGCATTTCAATTCAGCGCCTTCAAATATTTATGATACTAAGCCCGCACTACTTTACTGTCCGCCTGGTCATTCTTTTTATTTGTCAGGCGTTTTTACTCAAGGTAGTAGTGAATTAATAATATTCTTAAGTTAATAATGTGCTATTGATTTATAAATATTTATTTAAATATTACATTTTTTGGCTTATCTTAGTGGATCCAAGCAAATATGAAACGTGGATTTTTTTCTATCTTAGATATTATTCTATGTTTTTTCTTATTTTATTTAGCCCTCCAATGTTTTATGAGTATTGAACATTACGAGATTTTATATTGCTTGGATATTTACAATAAAAGATAATACATGGTTTTTTAAATTTTCATTCGACTCAAATCTGTAAATGATGGATTACCAAACATTACATAATGCTTTTTTGTCTTCGAATATTGTCTCTAGTCGTACTAGGGTCGTAATATGGATATGGATAAACATACACTTTGGTTATTTATCAAAAGGTTATTTTATTATATTATTATAATTATTTTATTTTAATGTTACTAATTTTTTACGTTGTTTGTATACATTTCATGTGAGAACTCTAATTATTCAGTGAAAATATTATTCATTACTAATCAGTGATGTTATTAGAAATACCAATATTATTAACAGATGTACACTGATTTTGGTGTTAATTTTTTATTTTTTATGTTTGTTGAGCATCACAGATCACATAAATCACTGATGGCCTAAACCATAAGAAAAAACAATTGTCTAAGTCAATTTTTTAAATTATTATTTTTTTTTTTTTTGATTTTCAGTCAGTTTTTAATATTTAAAACCTTCTCCCTAGCTCTCCTTCATGAAACTGCCATTCTTTCTTCCAATTCAGGCTCCGTTAAGTATGTGTACCCATTCTGAAATATAAAAAAAACTCGAATGAACCAGGATAACCGTAGAATCCCAAACTAAACACAAATAATTACCTACTCACTAAATTATCAACTATACTTTCTTGTTTTATTTTATTAAAATTATTTTTTACTTATTTTTATATACGTTGAAAAGCATAGGATTCAAGAATATAACAACATAAATCAATAGGTGAACCAAGAGTTTTTTTAAACCTTTTTTTCAAAGTTTCCTCAAAATATTTGATTTAAGTCAGTTGTGCATTTATTTCCTGCCTAAATCATAAATCGCTCTATTTGGTAAATTAGAAAAGGTATTTTTATTCACAAACATTTCATAATTTTTATGAAAATAAGAGGCCCATGAATCAGAGATAAATTAATTGTAAATGAAACTATACCGATTAAACAAAATAAATTGTACTACTAAAAAAATAACAATAAAATAAATTTATTCACGCCAGAAAGGTTCCTAGATGTGATAAACATGTTAAAACTGTTTTACATCAAATTAAAAAGAGAAAATATATTTTTAAAAATTTAATTCATCTTCCTTTCTGACCCAATGACTTACAGAAGAATCACAGAACACTTCTTAAGTCCTAAGTCCTTTATTCTAAAACGTCATCACCATGCATATCACAAACGTTCCTAGCTGTCTATACTGCGGTTTCCTTTTTCTGTATCCTAAAACATTAAATAACGAAAACATACTATTTTTCTTCATTTTTAATTCGCAAAACACGTTGCAAAAATGTCAAATCTTGAACGAAACAGACACTATCATAGACACTTTAACTAATCTATTTTCAAAGAGTTTAATAATGGTTAAATACTAAATAAAAAATATTTTAAAATACAATTTTACAACTATGATTTACCTCAGCAAGTATATATGATAAACGAAGTTAAATAGTAGTGTGTGTGGTGATTAGTGAATTATTCAGAAATCGTGAGATGCGGTCTGGTGTGATGTAGGTTTCAGAAAAACATTTTCTTCATCGTGCCAACGTTTCGATCTTTATTGAGATCATCTTCAGGGCCTGGGCTTTACAAACATTGTTTACATTTAACAAATACATTTAGGATGTGGAAAAGTGAATTTATACAATGCAAATGTCTTTTCACCTCAAAGAAGCCGACGCCTTATACAAAAATGTCTTTTCTGGACCGACTTCCTTCCCCACCCCTTCAAAATCCAACGTACATAAACATAAAACAGCAATATCTCACTGGCACTCTCAACACGACACACAAGGATGGCACAATTACACAGAAGACAAACACTTTGAGTGAGTATAAATACTTTAATTGAATATAAAAAGTATATTTTGCATTATATAAATTCACTTTTCCACATCCTAAATTTATTTGTTAAGTGTAAACAATATTTGTAAATCCCAGGCCCTGAAGATGATTCAATATAGGTCGAAACGTTGGCACGATAAAGAAAATGTTTTTCTGAAACCTACATCACACCAGACCGGATCTCACGATTTCGAAATAATTATTAAATAGTAGTATTTTCTTTTTGGTATTTTGCATAATTTACTCATGAACGTGACTAAACATCTGATGTTACATTTATCTACGTACAAATCACAATTGCGACAGAGAGATTTTTCATAACGCTATGTCAAGGTCACCATCATATTTAACGTGTTTCAAATAACGTTGACGCTATTTCGAGACTTTTTGCATGACAGATTTTGCCGCTAACGTTGTTTATTGGGAAGCTTGTTGTAGTTCAGTTTATAGTCGTATCTTACGTGCTTATGAATAAACAACGGCACAGTTTACAGATGTCATGGATTTTCTCTTGATTTCTGACCGTAGTTGGGTAAATGCTGAAGACCTGATCGTTGTAGATGCACCAACATACAAAATAAACATTAATTTCTTGTGATTCGGAAATATTACAGTGCAGTTAGTTAACCATATATTTACATACTCATTATAACCAAATTTTACACCTGTCTGTCTGCTATTTTAGCTTTTAAATTGTATTTAGACGGTTCAGCCAAAGCATCAGATTAATACAATTCTGTGCTTTATTGAAGGACAGGAAAGGAAAATGTATAAGGCTCTAACTGTTATTCCTTCTTTTATATAAATAAAACAGATAAATATTTTAATGCTGGAACTGGAGATTCATGAAAACTTGTACGAATTGTATTATGTTTCTACATATATAACTGTTTTTTAAATTTGGCATCTCCAACAAAAACTACTTTGTTGATTTTACCTTCACACAAGCACGCTATTTCAAGACAAATAACTAGAACGCTATTTCAGATAACGTTACGTTAAATCTGAATATGTGCATTTAAATCAATTTAGCGTAACCGTTCACGCTCACGTTATGCAAAATCTTCCTATTATTTGGCTTGAGAATATACGTTAAAAATTGTTAGACTAAAGTTATCCACATTTAGCTTCTTCAGTATCCAAATCAAAATTTCCGCTTCTGAACTGAGCAAACCAGTTACGGACGGTGCTTTCTTCTAAAAGGGGATCACATATTTTCCTAGCAGGCCTGAAAATGCACTATTTCAACCCCTCTTTTTTTATTAAATAAAATTCCTCGAAAAAAGACGAAATCTCGAATAAAACGTCTTTATCTGATAAAGGGTGTACAGACAATAATGTCTAAAATAAGCATTCCTTAAAAACAGAAAAGGGATAAAAATCGAATTATTGAAAACTGACTTATTTTACAACCCAATATTTTCTTAATATTTTATCCTCGTTTCCTGTCGAAGGATACGCCGTTCTATTATTTTCTGTGAAGCTAGTCGGGAGCCGTCACGAAATGATGGGAAATAAGAACGTGATAGAGATGTCAATGAAGATACGCGTGACATTCCAAAGCTCATCGGGTTAACATTAAACACCCTTTAATTCTAGTTTTACAGAAACCATTCTGAATTTAAAAAAAGCGAAGAATGGAAATTTTAAAGCATGGTGACTGAAGAAATGGTTGAAGTTGAGTATTTATATCGAGCTGTTTCCACCGGTTTGAGGCTGTTTTTGAAATTATTTTTTGTGATTCAAGTAATGCCATCTTTTAAAATAGCTTTTAGATTTTCTGTACTCAGTCAGACACCAAACCTGTTAGTTATTAAAAGCCGAGTCGCGTGGAAGAAAAGTAAAAGTAAAAGAAAACCAGTTACGGCGACAAATGGTTATTTGTTTTATCCCCTCTGGTCAATAAATACGAAAGTCCAGCCGTTATTTTTAACGCGCAATTGGATCCACATGACCAGGGATTGTGGATCACGGAGATCACGACTTTCAAATTGTCCATTTTCGATGTTTCCCAAGCCTGACCTTTATAAAAAAAAGCATTGTTATCCCGGTTGGGAGAACGGCCCCCTAACAAGCTCAACAGCGCCGATTATGTTGCACCACATCATAGATTATTACAGGGCGATAAAAGGTAACGGATTTAGTGTGCTTAATAGACTTTCGACATTTGAAACACCGATATTGAAAATAGTCCGGCATATCCTTATACATATAGTTATAGAATTCCAAGATCACCAATCCATTTTGAAATAAACATGAAGTAGTACAAAAATACACTACAGTTCTTACTATTTGAAATATATTAATATATTCCTAAAGACCACCAAAATAAAAATAAAAGCTTATCGTAATTTACTTTGGTTGTTGACATGTACATCTTCTACAACTCGCAGCCCAAAGACTTGAAATTTGTACCACTTACGCATCAGGTTTCGGCCGACCGTTTCAAAACTTTTGAGAAAGCGTATTCATTTTTTTCCCAAAGGTTACTGGAAAGAAAACAAGTTGGTACAATGCCATAAACTACTTTGTTATTTTCAAAATGAGAATACTTGAGAATAAAAATGACAAAAAAGTGTTCTAAACGAAATCGAACTGCTCTATATTACTTGTCAACCTGGAATTGTGTCTGCTTTTTTGTCACGTTGTTGTAGACGTTTGCCTCTATCATTTTCTGCACAACGGAAAACCTAACGACTTGAAATTAGTACCACTTACACAAAAGGTGTTGAAAGTTAAAGATCTTTGAGAAACTGTATTCTTCCTTTTTTCTTATTAATACAAGTAGACATTTTTAATTAGTAAGTTATCATAATCTAATATATCTAACATAATAAATGTTTCAAACTAGAACAACGCATGCTGGTGTTCTTCAAGGCAACATACTCGCCCTTATACTTTATCAAGTATGAACATATTATATTCGTCATTGTCCGCCATAGACTATATTGTTTATGTCGAGAACACAACCCCCCTTCTTTGCCCTCGAAACCTGGATCAGCATCTCATACTTTTGGAATCATAGTAAAATAAAAAGGGGTGAAATTAAATTTAATAACTTTCTCTTTCCAACATGTAACATGGGGTACGTAGGGATGTACCTTTTTATAAAATCCCAATTGGAGTCTTAAGCCAGAAACACACTTACCCGATGCTTCGCCGTGCGACGCTACCCGATGCTACCCGACGCAAATCCAAACTCCGATTTTCCATAAGGTTGCATTACCCCCGTGCACATCTACCCGACGCTCTGCGATCCCCACTGTCCAAATTTTCGTCGGGTCGCATCTACAATAGTACAGTCGAAGACAAAAGAACCGGACACTCATATTTTTATTCAAACTACATGTATTATTGTCGTTATATTAATTACAACATACTTATTTTTATAAACCAAATTAACTGTGATTAAAAATTAATTAGTTTTTATTTAAGAAATTAATTTTAATGGTTTGGTAGAAAATCAATCAAAACACCGGAATACGATTTTTTGATATAATGAATTTAACTAACAATTTATTGTACTCGCTTCGGCGGTACATATACTAAAATTGGAACAATTTATTACACGGTTTTGCTCATAAAATTTAATTAATAATTTATTTCATAGTTTTGCTCGTAAAATTAGACCATTTTCTAATGTCGGGTAGCATCAGAACAGGACACTCATATTTTTTGTAGTTTATTTCAAACTAAGTACATATAATTTTGTCGTTATATTAATTACTATATTCCATATTATATTCGTTATATTAATAAATGTGCACACCCCACCAAAACGTGGCAAGGCGTCGGGTAGCATCGGGTAGCGTCGCATGGCGTAGCATCGGGTAAGTGTGTTCCTGGCTTAAGAGATTTCCTCCCTTACATTCAAACATTAGTATATTGTCCGTAAATTCACTAGTTTTCGTGGTCCGCTTGACCAATAAGTATATTGTGTTCACTCTGTGCTAATGGTTTTCCTGTAAGATTTTTGATTTTTTTTCAGTGAAGTACAAATTCTTATCAGGTGTATTGTTTGTACGTCTATACTGGTCCAGAATGACTTCCTAAGTACTATAGCCTTTTCTATTGCAGAGCAGTTGCATGAGATGGTTCTGTTGCTTCCTTGGTCAGCTGTTAGTAATCCTATATTTAAGAGGTATTTTTACTAGAATATACACGTAAATATATTTGTTATATTTACATTACATTACTCCATTCCTTTCTGTTGATTTTCTCTATCTACCATGGGTTTTTTGCTCGTTTCATGCCTAGCATACGTTACCAGAACATGTTGTGTTCTTTAGTTATCCCAGATTCCGTTTTTTTTTTTTTTTTTTTTTTTTTTTTTTTTTTTTTTTTTTTTTTTTTTTTTTTTTTTTTTTTTTTAATGTAGCTGTAATTTATGCCAAAAAATAGATTTGCCCTATGTGTTGTTCCGAGGTTACCTTTTTAACCAGGTAAGTTTTGCTGCCTCATTGCCTGATATTCCCTCATGATCTGGGACCCACCTTAACGTCATGCTATTTATACTTCGAAGTTTTTAGAGCATTCTTGCAGTTCCAGACAAGTTTTGGTTGATATCGCAATCTCAGAGAGCTTTTGACTTACCTGGCTTCCTGATAGTGTTATTATTCTTGCACCCTTGGATGGTTGTTATTTACTTAATGTGTACATGTTTTCTATAGCTATCAGTTCGGCTAGAAAGATGTGGTGGGGGCCAAGGACCGAATGGTGTTCATGGTTAAACCCCTATAGCCCATACCGGTATGATTTCTCATTTTTTGAATCTTCCATCGACAAGGCGAGCAAATGTAACATCATGTCCGCCTCCGTCAGAAAACGTATGCTTAATCCCAGCATTGCAGCCTCATAGCCGATAGCCGTTGCTAGGTGTGTCTTGCCCACACCTGACGGACTCAGCAACACGATATTCTCCTGCCTTTCAATAAATGCCAGTCCAGCCCCTGTATTTGGTTAGGAGGAACACCTCTGGCATACTATGTCGAACTGCGGTTTATTACCGGTATTCCAGATAAGTGAAGTATACCACAGAAGAGCTCCTCGTTTTTCTTTTTTTGTTCTATTTTGCTCTCTTTCTAGTAATTATGTTTTTCAAAGTCAACTATTTTCGCCGATCAGAGTTAGCTTTTTGTTTTTATTTATTTGCCATCACATTATTATTGTTTCTCCATATGAGGTTAAGATTAAAAGGAGGTAGCTTATTTACGACTTTGCGCACAAATACCAATATTGGTTTATTTGTAATCTCCATTGTTACCTACAGCTCTTCGTAACATTTAAATGCATTATATTCGTGGTCCGATTGGCCAAATATTTCGAATAATTAATCTTTATGTCAGGTATTGGTTGATATGAAAAAGTTAGTGTGACGAGCGGGATTCGAACCCCGACCTTCGGCTAAATACGCCGCTGCTCACCACTCGGACACCAACTTCCCACTTCAACCTACGTTAAGTTTAAAGCTTTTTGCCAGATCAGGAGGTTTTGTGAAAGGTTTCCGCATGTATCCTTGAAACCCTGGCTTTTCCTCCCATAGGAATCTCAGCCATAAACCTTTGCACCAACAGAAGGCATGTTCCGCTGTTACTTCTTCCTGATATCTGCACAGATAATTTACACATATGCCTCCTTTAATCATTAGTCGTACAGTACCAACTCATCCTAGGTTTAGTAGTTTTACGTCAGTGGTTCATTAACATACGAATCTAGGTTTTTTGGTATTTGGTATGCCGCAAAAGTGTTCAGGGCCTATAGGAGTCCTCATCTATGGGGTAGTTTCCTTTAGTGCCACCTGGTTTTCCATGAAGATGGCTTATTTGTTTGTAACGTCCTGCATTTTGATGTTGAAGGATCAGTGTTCAATAGCCAGAACAATACATAATAGTAATAGCATATATTGGTTATTGGATTATTTCTATAGGTATCAGCTCTTGACCCATACTCGATCTTAGAGCCATATGTCCATACGAGGTAGTTGTAATATATAATGTATATATATTACCATTTTCCCTTAGTAGTATTTATGTTACTTGTACCTTTTTGGCCGTTTGAAGTTTGGGTGAATTCATTGCGTCGTAAAGTTTAATAATCCTACCATCCTAGTATCTAAGCGAAATTTGTGCCACTTCGGCAGCAGGTTTGAGTAGACTGAAGATTTTTGAGAAAGTGATTTTCTTTCTCTTTTTAATTATTTAAGAAGAGAAGTTTAAATTGTAAGGTGGGGGAGAGTACACATTTTTACAAATAATACGTTATTACGTTACGTTATTTGTATAACTAATTTTGTATTTTTCAAATTTCTAGCTTATTTTTCAAACATACACTCCAGTTTTATCTGTTTCAAAGACTAAAACAAGTTCGTACATAATGTTTTAATTATAAGCTAATTTATTTTGCTTATGCAGTCGGTATTTTTCTCTTTTTCTTTTTCAATATCGTACTTCTTCGCTTTTTTTCACAACGAATGCCTTACTCCATGAAATTCTTAACATATTGAATTAAGTTTGAAAGTTATTACAATTGATAATTTTTACTAATGTAATTTATACTTTTTTCAGCACCACGATATCGGTGACGGTGTTGGTTCGGAATGGGTCACAACCAGCGACCCGGCCGTACTCACAGAGGTCAGGGAAAAGAAAGTGACCACCAGGGAAGAGACCAACGAGACAGTCGAGACGGAAGACGTGAAACATCTCGGGGACATCTCAGATAAGGTAAGAACATGAAAATGTGCAACAGAAAAGCGTACACGGGCAGTACACAACCAAACCGGGTTCAAGTTCACTCACAGTCGTGGGGATTTCGCAAACTTAGAAAGTTTCGTTGCAGTGTTCAGAGGAACGGGTTTGTCCAGTGTAACTCAATTTAATAAAAAAATCACCTAGATCGTAAATATATGCTGAAGGGCTGTTTACATTTCTTGGACAGTTCCGTTTCACAGTTTTCTTAAAGTACACGGTTTTTCTAGTTACAATCGTCAATTCATTCGTGTTACTTCGCCGGTATTAATCAAGTCCTTAATTGTAAGAAAGCAATGCGAGGATCGACTTAACTGCCCTTAGATGGCCATTTATTCACAAGCATAACTAGTCACCCTCGAAACGAAAGTCTGACACTAATGAATATCAATAAACACATTAAAAAATGTATGAAACCTATATTACGTGTTGGTGAATTGCGTAGATCTACATTTTGACGTAACAGGTTATCGCCCCGATTTGCGCCACTCGGGCCGGCCGGATAAGGCGATTGGTACGCGAAGTACTGCTTACATTTTTGATTTCCTTTGACGTAATGACCGACTTTCCCACGCCCAATAGAATTCGCCTAATATACTTAGATATTTTAAGTACGGGTATTTAAAGCATTGTATAAATATGAATTTATTAATTTACATCGTCTAGCTTAACAGAATGGACTTACAAAATTCTGAACGGTATCTCTTTTGTTGAAATATGTATATTTGGGTTTATTTGAATGTTTATGGTTGAAGGGTTATGTAGAACAGTATAATAATAATATTATTTAGAAAATGTAAGAAAATAAATTATGGGCGCATTATTCTTTTCAAATTTGTCACTAGTGAAAACCTTTCGAATAACACGTAATATATTAATGGGGGACAGAGTGAGATCAAGTCAAGCAAAAAGAGAAAGATAAAGACAGACAGAGAGAGAGAGAGAGAGAGAGAGGGAGAGAGAGAGAGAAAGAGAGAGAGAGAGAAAGAGAAGAGAATAAGAAAAAAGTGAAAGAGCAAAATACAGAGTGAAAGAGTGAGGGGAAAGGCTAATAGATAAATACAGATAAATACTAGAGAAAGAGAGAGAGAGAGAGAGAGAGAGAGAGAGAGAGAGAGAGAGAGAGAGAGAGAGAGAGAGAGAGAGAGAGAGAGAGTTTTAGAAAGACATACAAACACAGAGAATGAGAAAAGAAGTAAATAAAGAAAGAGCCAAAGAGAATATGTGAGAGAGAGGGTGAGAAAGAAAGAGAGAGATAGAAGGAGAGAGAAAATGAGAAAGAAACTAAATAAAGCAAGATGCACAGTGAGAGAGAGAGAGAGAGAGAGAGAGAAAGAAATATAGATAAATAAATCGAGAAAGAAAGAGAAAGTGCAAAAAAATAGTGAAAGTGTGAGGGGATAAATAAAAAAAGGGAGCGAGAGAGAAAAGAGTAAGAGAAAGAGAAATAGAGAGAGAGAGAGAGAGAGAGAGAGGGAGAGAGAGAGAGAGAGAGTGAGAGAGAGAGTGAGTGAGAGAGAGAGAGAGAGTGAGTGAGAGAGAGCGAGATAGATAGATGGATAGATAGGTAGGTAGGTAGGTAGATAGATAGAGAAAGAGAGAGAGAGAGAGAGAGAGAGAGTGAGAGAGAGCGAGATAGATAGATGGATAGATAGGTAGGTAGGTAGATAGATAGAGAAAGAGAGAGAGATAGAGAGAAAGAGAGAGAGAGAATGAGAGTGAGAGAGAGGGAGAGAAAAATTGTGAAGGAATGTAAATATAGAAAGAGGCAGAGCGAGCTAGAGAGAAAAAAATAGACAATAGAAAAATATAGAGAAAGCGAAAAAGTGAGAGTGAAAGAGTGAGGAGATAAATAAATAAATTGTCCGAGAGAGAAAGAGTGTGAGAGGAGATACATAGATAGAAAAAGAGAGAGAAAGAGAGAGTAAGAGAGATAGAATGAGTGAGTCAGTGAGTGTTCGAGAGCTAGAGAGAGAGGGAGGGAGAGCGTGAGAAATAACATAGTTGAACTTTTTCCGCATCTCAAAAAACCTCTGAATATGTTTAAATTGTTAGGGGAAAATGTCTCAAATTTTTCACCATCCAAATGGTACCGATTTGTTGCCAAAAATCACAAAAATGATTCTACTGATATACAGGAATCTTTAAAGGGGTGTAGAACTATAAATTACACTTTTCACACAAACGAGTAATCCTACCTAAAGATGTACACATTTTGTCAGCTAGAAAAATTCGCATTTAAGGACTTCAAAGGGTGGTAAAAACGAATAGTAAAAAAATTCCTACTGTAAAGGAAGCGTCTTTTTTGTTTTTGTAACTTTTCATATAACTAATCACATTTAAGGCTAATAAATAAAAGTCAACCTCTTATTTGTAACGATAAAATTTTCCGTTGTTGTTATGTTGCCAGGTGAATGTGTCCAACATTGTTTATTGATGCATTATTCATTCGTCGTACTCATAGAGCATAGCAATTGGCCCAAGAAAACGTTCTAGAAGGGTTAAAGAATATTTAATTGTATATTTTTAAAGTGGTTCTTTTTCTCTTTTTGAAAATTGAACAATAAAAAAGTGCACAGAGGCGTTCTCGTATATCTTGGTCACGGTTATGAACAAACTGAATTAGCCTTTTCATTCATTTGATCCGGGAAATCCTGCGTCATAGCTGTTGAGCTATGTTGCTGCAATGGCGGTCTACAACGCATACAAATTCAAGAACATGTTAAAAGATATTTCAATAAAGTCCAATTGGATTATTTATTAATGGTTTTCGTCTGAATAATATCTGCCTTTTCATATTGTAAACAAAGTTTCATCATATGATTTATCATTTTTAAAATGCCTTGTACTACCCACTCATTCCTTTCTCGAACATAGTCCGCCTTTTTTCCGGTTCCAAGACATTTCTGTTAAAATGCCAATAACGCACCAGGTTGTATTTAAATTATTTAAAGTATCGTTTTATTACAACTGTTGGCACACTTAGTGTTTGTTTTCGGCATAAAATTCACATTATTATCCTAGTCCGTGGTTTTTTTATCGCGTTGTTTTTTTTTAAAGCCCAATTTTGATAAAACACCGGACGAAGAAAGCGTAAATGTACAATATGCGGAATCCATTCGCAGACCACCAACTTGGAATTCACACTGAAGGCATTAAGTTCATTAAAGTCACCGACGGCTGTATTTAACTATGATTGGTATAAAAAAAGTTGTTTACGTGCTCGTGGAAAAACCTATCATTCTCGCATATATTTTGAACCGTCATGTTTTCGCAAATTTGACGCTCTACATCTTTGTGCCGAGGACTTTTTAAAAAAAGTTAACAGGGAAGCGACAATTCTTACCTTTTTCTTACTTTGACCTTTTAGAAAGCGGAATGCTTTTGCTGTCGATGACCATTTGTTTACCTCTTCTCGGAAATTCAACTTTTCCTTCCCATTTCACAGGTTTGAGACAGTTTGGCTTCGAATAACGTATTGAAACAATAGATTTATGTATGGAAAAGTGGGGAGAGAAAGTGATCGGTTTTTTCATGGGCACGTTAAAAACCAAGTTTTTGGCCAAAACAATCGCGATTAACTCGAAAACGGTTGAAAAATCGGGCAAAGTGGAAGGTGCCAGTCGAAAGCTGATTAAAATATCCTATCGTTTGGTAAAGGGCCGTCGCTCCAGGACGATTTTCTGGCCTCCCAGCCAAATTTGAAATTTTTGTAAAAAGTGCAAAAATTTACTTTGATTGATTGAATTGAACACTTGAATTTATTTCCAAATTTTTGAATTTACTGACGAATGACTAAAGCTAGGAAAACATTGTAAAAAATCCATCTTATATAGCGTTATATTTTCTAAAAAATGAGACCAAGCGCAGGTCGGTGACTTAAAAGGCGGAGAAAATATGCTTGTCCAAATTTAGCGAAATTTTTTGTGCATTTTTTTTTAGTGGGCAGTATATTTCCTTTGAGGAGTGCATACATTCAGGAGAAATAAAATCGGTACATATCTATCTTATGATTTCTTATAATAAATTTAGGTTTTACTGGACAATTGTCCAAGTTACTTCTTTCAATTAATTATTGTTTTTATGTAAGGTTTTGGTTGAGATAAAAAAGTCAGTGTCACGAGCGGGATTCGAACCCACGACCTTCCGGCTAAATACGCTCTACCACTTGAGCTATCGTGACTTCGATGCAATCGGACACCAACTCTCCATCTTATAAGAAAGTTAAATATTTATTGTGAGATTTTCTGTTGTGGTTAGCGAATGTAATTGACCGGCAATTTGGTCCGCCTAACCTCGCTGGTTTTGTCTGTGAGACCCGTTACGGCATTTCGCCGTCTGTTTATTATATTTCGTAGTCAGTGATGATGTTCACCATTTATGGTCAACATTTGCGAAACGTTCTTTTACAAAACCATTAATGACGAAGATGAAGAAAATGGAAAAATGCACCTCGTACAACCGGCAATCACAGGTCCGCGATCTTTATCCTTCGATATCCTTGACATTTATATAAGAAACCGTTCTGTTTCTTTAAGTGAAACTGATCTGCATTTAAAAAGAGCAAACACCATTCGACGCGTTACAGACAGTAAAGGCCGTTTTGAGTTTGGTTTCTTTTTTTTGACTTTTTTGTCTTTTAGGCTTGAGCAACTACAGGGTGCGGCGTTGGAAAATCGAGTCTGTGATTCTCACCTGAATTTGGCATGGGGGTTTAAAAAGCGCACCTGTAACCCGACCGGGACGTTGACTCCAGTACTACCCAATCGAGAAATGTTACTTGACCCGTTACCATCAGTAAAATTCTCTAACTTGGTCTACCGTTAACTTATTGATAACAGTGTCTCCCTTATCCAAATATCTTGCTAAATTTAAGAAAATATGTCTATTTGACAGAAACAAACGATAAATATGGACATCACGCTGTCAATCGTCACTTTATTCTTGTATGTACGAAGAGTGTCTTTTTAAAAATAAACCGACAAGGCTCCAGTAAAGTGCAGAACTTAAAAACTGATTAAATTACTCAATTTAATAGTTATGAACTACTTTAAGTAATCATAATGATAAATATTGCGACTGTCGAGAAAAACGATCATCATGTGAGAAAAAACCTATAAACACCTAAACAGAAGTTCAAATTTGTCCCAAATCTTAAATGTTTAGACATGAGTCTTTTTCTCATCATTTAGCTCCAGTCTCATTTCTCTTCGTCAGGACGTGTTTAAAAATTGAAATGTATTACTCTTTATTATCACAGATAAATAATTCATGAGTCCGCGGTCACTCATTGATGAAGTAATTGATTGTCATCACTTAATCTGTCCATTCTTGCTAGACAGTTTCAAATATATACTATTTCACAGCCTAAAAAGTGAATCAGTGTTGACATTTGATGTTTCGTTAGAAAAAGATAAAATATCGAGAACAAGAATATTCATGGCATATTTTTACTTGTAACAATATTTTATGTCATAGGAACTTGGAGAATTTCGCTTTGTTAAAATACGTATATTAAGATTGCAATTTTGCAAGTTCGAAAGCCAAAAACGTCAAAATTTGGCGAAGTTTAGTTTAATTTTCTTGGGTGTTTTCACCGGCAATTTTCTTGGTAAAAAAGGTATGACAACGCCAAATAGCAAGACCCAACACGAATAGGCGAATACTCAGTATATACAGAGAGCTTCTAACGTTTTTAAAAATTAACTATGAGATTTCATTAGTGGTATAAAATTGATTTTATTTACTTCTTGATCCCTTTTTTTCCGTTGGATTCGCATAGTCTGATGATAGATAATCTCGGAAGTTAACGATGATTACAATATTATTAATTCCTTTCAGTTAATTAATCTTAACGTAAGGTATTGGTTGAAATGAAAAAGCCAGTTTCACGAGCGGGATTCGAACCAACGACCTTCGGCTAAATACGCCACTGCTCAACCACTTGAGCTATCGTGACTTTGATCCACTCGAACACAAACCTCCCACCTCAACTTACCTTTTGAATTTTCCATCTTCTTGCAATTTTTCAAATGTGTCATCAGGATTCGATTCTCGGCGACAAATGAAATGGCACGGAGAGCTTTAGTGAAGATATACTTCGTTTTACTTATTAAATCTATTATATTTCGTGGTCCGATTGACCAAATAACATCTTTCAATTAATTAATCTTTATGTAAGGTATTGGTTGAAATGAAAAAACCGGGATAAAAAGGTGTGCTAGTGGATCGAAATCACGATAGCTCAAGTGGTAGAGTAGCGGCGTATTTAGCCGAAGATCGCCGGTTCGAATCCCGCTCGTGACACTGACTTTTTTATCTCAACTAAAAACCTTAATTAATTAAACTTCTACATAAAGAAAATTGCAGTGTATAAGTTTCAGGGAATTCCTCGTATAAAATGATATGGGGTTTCACATTCCTTTAGAAACTACAGGTCACGGCTTTTCATATTTAGGACGACACTGTTAATCAGATTTAATAGTTAATTATTTAAATCAAAATAGTTATTACAAATCTTCGACGGACTTACCTAATTTAGACAGAAACTTCTCACATATAAATTTTTAAGTTCAAGTCGCGGAATTAAGTTTAATTTATCTCTTCGTCACGATGATTCTTTTCTCTTGAATGCGCAAATTCTGCCTAATTTGTAAAGCTTAGTCAAGTAAATTTTGAATTTGATATATTCAATCTGGATGATTGATATATTCGTAAGTTGCCAAGGTTAATATATTATTAACAATTTAATTGTGTTTAAATTGATTTTATTTACTCCAATTCGATCTCTTTTTCATTTTCTGGGTCTCCTTATTATCGCTCTTTTGTGCACCTAACTCTAGAAACTCTGAGATTAAAAAAATCAAACAGGACGATCGAAAAACTAATGTAAGGAGGACTAATAAAAGGAATAAATTTGGCTTTATTTACTTCTCAATTTTTTTTCTCGTGAGTCCGCATAACTCGCAGTTAACAATGATTGAAATATTATTAATAATGTTGTTTTAAATGGTTGAAGTTTGTTTAAATGTTTCCTCTTTAAGATTATGTATTATTAAACTTAGCCTTTTCACATATACATTTCTAAGTTACAAGCCTTGAATTAGGCTGACTTTATTAATTTCTCGATCATTTTTTTTCTTTTGAGTCCGAGGTAGTCTGATGATGAAGTTGATGTAATTTATTTCATCTGTTCAATCATCTCAAGAAAATATCTCGATTATTCGCTCTGTTTTGTCTACTTTAGTATGATTTATTACAAAACAGAACAAAATTAAACTGCATGGTCGATAAACTCACAAGTTAACAATGATTACATTAATTAATATTTCAAATTATTTAACTTTCGCTTTAGATGACATAGGGGACTGCGGTGACGGAGTGGTTAGGGCGTCCGAGTCGTATTTCCCACGCTAGCGGTCCTGGGTTCAAATACTGGCACAGCCCTTGTCTTCTTAATCGGAAATATTATAAAAGAAGTGTTGTAAATTGATTGGACCACTCGACCGCGGACTTTAAGCCCTCCTCTTTGACAGAAATACTTTACTTTTTTATTTATCAAGACATGTTCTGCAAGGTGTCTTTGTATTGAACGGCTTTTTTCAGACTTATAACTTACAAAGTTCCTGTTGTGGAATTATTTTGGCTAAACTCAAATTTTTACTCATATTTTATCTCCTGGGTCCGTATATTTTCTCTGTGTTTTTACTTCAGCTTCATTCATTAGAGAATGAATCAATATTAATAATAATTGCTTTAAATGATATTAGATAATCATTTTCAAGCATAAATGGTTAAGACAGTACTTTCACTTAATTTTCTTGAAACGAAAGTCATCAAATAATGAGTTTTTACAGCTTTTGTTGTTTATTTGTTTTAATTTTGGATGTTATTTATCCATCCTCTATTTTTTAGAGTAAACGTTTTCTGTTGCATCTAAGAAATCCCAATTTCTTATTTCCACCTCATAAAAAATCAGAGGATTTTTTCTTGATTGTTTTGATTGACCCCTTGTGGCCAATCTGTTTTCCCTCGACGTCATCTACGCATCCTATTATGCATTTTCCTCCTGCGAATAAGCCAACAACTGATTTCCGTTTTGTCCTTTGTCCTGCCGCCCCTGCCAGGACTCCGAGTTCCTCTGCTCGTATAGTACAAGAGATATCTGTGGTGGGGAGCTGGAAATACGATCTCGCCTCCTGCGCCGCACTTCATCCTGCGCGCTTCGTGAGCTCGCTTGTGCTTTTGACTTTCTGACGTTCAGTGTTGTTTATTCGAGACTGGGTTGTTCTTGCCTGGATTCTATCGCCTGCGTATACACGTAAGATTCAATTGTTATTTATTAGAGAGAAGGTTTTATAAAAATTAATTTTGTTAACGGAAAAAAAGCGCGGTACTAAGTTTTTAAAATTTTTGATTTTCTAACACCTTTAAAAACAATTCATTCAACAAGCGATTTTATTAATTAATTAACCAATTAATGTGCCCATATTTTCATTAGACATAAAATGTACTTTTATTTGTTTATCCTTGTCCCAATTTAACCAGTGAATCAGTGTAGATGAATTTGTTTTCATTGCATATCTTTTGTTGAAAAACTGAAAATCACGAGGCAAAAATTCATATCTTTAAAGTAACAAATATTTATGAAATAGTAAATCGTCAGATGAAAATTTAATTTTAAAAAAGAGCTGAATCATATTTGATCGTGAAAGCTTTATTAAAAATACTGTCATTGCATTAAAATTGCGAGTACCATAAGATAGCGAGACCTGGCGAACCCCCGGGTTAACATTGTTAATTTAATATCCAAATAGACCATTCTTCGCCCTTTGTTTTAAACTTTATGCTTTATCCCCTGTCGACCAGTATATTTTAATTATTCACCTGACCGTTTTTTATTTATTTTCATCCAATTGCCCAAATTACAAACGAGGCAAGGACAAGCGTTGAAATCACTTTGTTGTTTTAAGGTTACTGGAGAATTTAGGTTCCATTCGAGAAGATTTCACTTGTTAAACTTAGAATTTGAAAGAAAATCTAGTTTTGCAGTTTTCAAATCGAACTTCCTAATTGTTGCATGTATTGAAGAGATAAATTAAGCTTTATTTTTTATTTGTGATTATGGCGAAAGGCCTAGATTGAATGGAATATCAGTTTCATGAACCTGTTTTGAAAAAAGTGTGTATGACTCAGAGACGAAAGGGCAGCCGGGAACTAATCGGGGTTATTTGAACATTATAACTCTTTATAATATCTGTCTAATAATAGGCTGTAGAGGAAAAGAACCATGAACTATTTATTGTTTTAGCTTTCGACAAGAGAGGATTTAATTTGATGGGACAAATAGTTTTAATTTGTTTATCGGAAAAGTTGTAGGTGGAAATCGCATTCGATAATCCAAATCGTCTTATGGAGTTTTGGAAAATTAGAGAACTTTTCCCCTCCCTTCGCCAGTTAAAGAAACCGAAAAAGGTTGGGTTCGGATTGTGAAATTTTATAAACAATCGTCGTTCCCGGGTTAAAAATTTCATTGATAGGCGGTCATGAAGGGGGCAGATAAGAGCACGAAAATGATTTCATCAGTGGTTGCCTGTAGAAGATGGCAAAGGACGATAAGAGGCTATCCTTAATAATCAGGATAGTATTGGGGTCATCGGGTTACATTTTTGGCCGGTTTCTCCTTTGTACGGTGTTATTAGCGTGATAATATTGAATAAAATAAATCCCTGGCAGAATTGGCCGGTTGAAATCTTTTTAAGGTAAATTACAAATGAAAAGGTCAAAATTTAAAAACAAAAACAATATTGGGAATATTCTTTCCTCTACTCAAATTGGGACATATCCAATTTATAAATATTACACCTTATTATTTGACCAAGTAATAATTTGAAAAGTAGCTACCTAATAAATCAACAAAATGAGGCAAAATCCAACATATTTCTTTTTTTTAAATTATATTCTTAATCCTTCATTTATTATATTATTAAATCTTTACGGTTTGAAAAATTATGTCGACTAATTTACTAATTATAAATGACAAATCCTTCATTAAATTAGCATTTAGATGTTTGTTTAAGGATTATGCAGAATATCAGCATTTACATGCGAAAAAAGTGCCCAATCTTAGTTTTTATTTCTCATGCTAGTAACATTGTTCTGTTCGTTTTAATAATTACCCTCTAATATTTACTTTTTATTTGATACTTTTTAGCAATATTTTTACATTTCGAATAATGTTTTGAATAGAAGTAGACTGTTCATAAGAAATATAGCTGATTATGGCCTAAAAAGGGAGGCTACTCGACTACACCAAGCCTCCAATTTTGCAGCAACTGCGAATGATCTTTGCCAAAAAGTTGGACTTTCCACCAATACGAAATGGCCAACGTATTTTACAAAGATCTTAACATTTAAATCGAATAAGGTTGAAGACAAAAACCTCCTCTTTCAACACAAAGGAAATAGTATGCGATTTCAGGGAGAAAATTATTTTTTAGTGACGAAAAGTGGTTCCGTGGATTTTTTTACAATGAAGAATGGTTGTAAGCAAACGTCAAATAGGTGGAGGTAGTGTCGTAGTATTACGTCGGATAGGCACTGTAGAAATTTTACCCAGCAAAACTGAGTGCAAAATAAAATATTTAAATTATTAAGGAACCAAGTATTGAATAGGAGAAGAGCTGACTGATACTAAAAGATTTCTTTGAAAAAAATATATATTTACATAGATATAAGCATTTTAGTTTTACCCTGGTCAGCCAGATCTTAAAATTTTTGAAAAAAGTTTGGGTTTTGACTCGTGAAATTATTGCACAAAGTAAGCAGTTCAACTCCATATAAAAGCTTAAGAACTGCTTATTTATTAAAAGCGGGACAACATCCGACAAAATTATATTTTAATTTTTTTTAAACTTTAATGTGATGTTATGAGGATCGGGGTGAGGTAATCAACAGACATAAATCACTTGTTTTTGCTAAGCTTGAAGTAACTTTCGACCTTCAGTCCGATCGATAAATATAAATAATATTTTAATTATTGATTGAATTACGAAAACCAACCCTGATTTAGAGCTCATTTTTGAGTAACGCAATGAGTACTTTTTTCACCCTTCGCTGATTCTTGAACAGAATATCTTTGTATGACAGAATAGACGAAATTATTCAGTTATCCACCAACTTTGTTTATATTCCGATTTGGGATATTATTGGGTATGATGGGTCCTTCAATGGAGGACCTCATACCCCGTTATTTCCCAAACCAGAGTATGACAGAATACACACACAATAGTTTATTGAGCCAATTGAAATATATCAACGAAATCTTGTCATAAAACAAGTATTTTTTCTTGTTCATGACCTCACCTTGATCCTTTTAATCTTTAATATAGGTCGATCTTGTGTACTATTTTAATTTGAAAACTGTTACAAAAATATTAGTGGATTTTTGATAAATAACAGATGGCCAACCTACTGTTAAATGAGGTAAATAGTAAATGATTATTTTGAGATCGTGAGATGCGGTCTGGTGTGAGGTAGGTTTTAGGAAAACATTTTCTTTTCGTGCCAACTTTTCGTTCTTTATTGAGATCATCTTCAGGGCTGTCATTCTTGTTTGTCGTGTTGAGGGTGCCCAAGACCAGAAAAGAATGACACGGAAAACAAACACCTGAAGATGATCTCAATAAAGATAAGAAAAGTTGGCACGATAAGGAAAATGTTTTCCTAAAACCTACCTCACACCAGACCGCATCTCACGATCTCAAAATAATCATTTACTAACGGTCACTAAACACCACACATTTAACACGCACACTCTCTCACACACACACACACACACACACACGAGTCACACTCTTGTACTATGTTACTCTACTTTTTCGTCTCTATTGAACCATCTATTTTCTATGTTCTGCTAAATAGTGTTCACTCTGTCACTTATTTCATTTTACCCCTTCCTTATAATATAATTTGTATCATTCTAAACTCTCTCTCTAAGTCTATATTTATATCTATCTCTTTCTCTCCCTCCCTCCTCCCGCCCACTCCATCTCTCTCTCTCTCTCTCTCTCTTGTTTCATTTTACCCCTCCCTTGTCATATTATTTGTATCATCCTAAACTCTCTCTCGTTTCTATCTATCTCTCTGTCTATGTCTATATTTCTCTCTCTCTCTCTCTCGCTCTCATACATTTTAAAAAAAACACACACACACACAAGTGTGCGCGTAAATAGTGAAATAATTGAAAAAAAAAGTCTTTAATCTTTTACCAGTGTTGTTTTGTAAGGAGTGAAGTAGCTCATTTTTAGTTATTTTATTATTCAAGGTTTTTACTATTATCAGACAAGATCAACCTGGATAATTTTATTTTGTCCATTTTTAATTATACATTTTTTGATATATTATTGATTTTTAAAATTGATGTTACAACTGGCTATAGTCAGTTTGTAAGGAAACTAACTTTCGCTAATAGATTTTTAACATTTAACACCCCAGTCTTAATTAGAAATGTTTTAAGATCTATTAATTTCTAACAATTTCTGTCGGTTTATGACCTGCTGGAGGCTGTAATCGTTTAGAAGTTACTGTTTCCTATCTGTGTATAAAAGGCGCTTGTAAAGAAAGGCCAAGGATGATCGGCCGTCGCCAAATCGTTAAAATTTTGCCACCGTCATCCCCCTTGATTTTCTGGAATTTCCGCGTCCGCCGATTGATAAAACCAAATGCAGCATAATTTTAAAAAATCACTTTCCTGCCGCGATACTGGCATTTCGCCGGCAGAATTAGAAAGTGCGTATGAGTCAAGGACCATTTGTTGGCCAGCCGGGCCCGACCGCCTCCTTTGTCAAACAGACAGGCTCATCGAGGTAGATAAGGCGAATTTCAAAAGACCGTTTAGGAAACATACACCAAGGAAATATATGGCGAGATGAGGTCATTCATCCATGAACAAATATGTTTTACGCCTCGTCGACGTTTTGAATAATTCTCTACTAATTGTTTATTTGATGTATGCTTACTATTTTGTAGAAAATTGATGTATTCCTAACAAATTGGCTTAGCATATATGACAATCTCTAGGGAAAAAGTGTTCAGTTAGAAGAATGAAAAAAATTGGTAAAAGGATTAGTAAGTTGACTTCGATACTGCTTTACATGTGTTTTAAGGATCTCAAGAAGAGGAATAAAGTTTTTTCCCTATTCGCCTTGTTACTCTGATTATTGAAATATCCGACAGGACCTTTCCAGAAAAGACAGAGTAACTGTACAAGGAAGGAAAGAGACCGTGTATTCTCATTATTTCAATTCGCCGTCCAGACAGCACAGCTCATGCATAAACCTTAGACGACGAGTATCCCAATTGGGAGCGCCGATTGTTCAGGAGGCCCAGAAAAGAAGAAAAGCGCCGCCCTTTTCTAGGACAGGAGCCGCCAAATAGTTGCTTTTGTCAGGTTTTGAAAAGGTGTGAAAGTCTTCTCGCGAATGGGGGGGGGGAACTCGACACGGCTTATTTACCACGGATCTTATGGTTTTTCACGAGACGCGGGGTCGCGACGGGCCCTTTCCCGTCTCCAAGCAAGTCCTTGGGAGGGCATGGTCCTTTTTTTTCAAGCCTTTGGGGAATCGACGGACAAAGGGATCAGCGATCGGCACGTGAACCGATTAATCAACGATTGAGTAAAATTAACGTAGACCGTTTCAAAATGTTACAGAGACTTCCCAAGCAACAAGGGAAATTTCAATATTTCTCCAACTTTACGCTATTAAATTATTCATCCCACTACCAAAAAGCTCTGACATATATTTAAAAGTGCAACATAAACTCGTTGTTATGAACAAAACGGAAGCAATTGACTTATCTTTTGACTAGTAAAGTACTAGTTTTAAGTAGTACTTTGGACTAGTTTGAGTAGTAAATTACAATTACTATGTTGAATAATTTATTAAAATGTGTATTAAAAATAACTTTTTAAAAGCAACATATACATGTATGAGAGATCACAACTGATTGTTGTCATCATGTTTTCTCCAATGCCAGCCTATCTAAAAATATAATTTGAATAGTTTTGTAACATGAAATCTACCTTCAAATATTGCAAGAATTTTTTAAAGAATGAGCTTTTTTGGAAATTTTAAACTACATTTGCGTTTGGAAATACATAAAGGTCATTTGGTTTTTTCAAAAATAGCGAGAAGTCTCTCTCTGTCAGTCTGTCTGTCTGTCTGTCTGTCTGTCTGTCTCTCTCTCTCTCTCTCTCTCTCTCTCTCTCTCTCTCTCTCGTTCTCTTTCTCTCTTCCTATCTCCTCCCTTTCTCTCTGTTTCTCACGCACATATATGTTATATATATATAATATTCTTCAGAACCCGAAAAGCGCTGAAGAATATTATTATCCAAACATAAGTAATTTATTGTACTAATTGGATATATTTGGAGAACAAAGTACAAATGTAAAGCCTAAACGAAGGCTTTTTTGCAAAATAGAGTATTCATAACGTAATAAAATAAAGCATATTTAAGAGTGTAATATTGGAATGATACGAAAGAAGTTCGTTCTTTTTTGTTTACCTTCCAAAGAAGACGTAACATCTAGCACTTATCGAGGGGGGTGGCATATTTCTTCAGATTCATTCCATGTTATGAAAAATGATGAAAACCATTGGTAAATCGGTTAAAATAAACGTTCAATGTTGTGAAAAGTTCACTAATTTTTTGGTCCGCTTGACCAATTGAAAGATGGCAAAAAGGAGAGAAAATTCAAAAGGTGGGGTTGAGATGGGAAGTTAGTGTCTGAGTGGATCGAGGACACTATAGCTCAAGTGGTAGAGCACCGGCGTATCTAGCTGAAGATCGTGGGTTCGAATCCCGCTCGTGCCATTGACTTTTTTTATCTCAACTAAAAACCTTAATTAATTGTGAAAAGTGCAAGTGAAATCAGATACTGCGAAAATTACACCCCCAGTTGGTTTTTAAATGAAAAGAGAACTTTTGTCGAGGTTTTATTTTCGGTTTATACTAATTAAAGGAATCGTGGTGGATGACCGACTCGTATTTGCAGAGCTAGCTGCTCTGGGTTCGAATACCGGCAGAGCAAATGGCTTTTTAATTGATAATGGTATGATTGTATTATAAAGTAATTCGACCTCTCATCCGCCATCGATGTATTTGGACGTTAAGACCTCTTATGCCTTAGGAATTACTTTATTTACTAAGTAAGGGTGAATTTCCGAAAAGACAGGACACTGCATTGGAAACAAAAGACAGAAACTTAAAACAGTTATTGCAAAATGAATTTAATCTACTTTTTAATGTTTTTCTGCTCTCTTAATTTAACTTATTTATCTAAATTGTAATAAATAAGAAACTGTTGAAATTTTTGTTGTTTTGAGTTGTAGAAAACCAGGAGTATTTGTATTTCAATTTGTATCACGATTTTCTAGCTCTAGGATTTATTCTTCTTCGTATTTTTGCAAATTTTCTATTAAACACGACTCTGTACTATTTTCCAGAGAGGCTTTAATTATTTTTAGCGTTGTTCAATGTAATTAATCATATAGGGCTGAGAATTTAATCGTTTCAAATAATTAATTAATCAGTTATTTATAGGATATTTATAAAAATAGAACATTCTGCGTATAATTTTTCAGCAGGCGTGTCCTGGGTGCCCTTTTGCCCGACGTTCAAACACTGACTTTTACCCGAGTCCCACGCTTTCCACTGGCCTGTGTTTCATCCCCGAAGCGCGTTTGACCGTAAATTTAGAGATTCGCACGCTTTCGACGGGGAGGGATTTTATATTTTCAAGAATGGTCCGTCCGTCTGGCTCCCTGTTTGGAATCGCAATGTTGAACTTGGGAAAGGGGTATTTGCATTTCAAATCTGAAAACGGAAAGTGAGAATCGTTTGAAAACCTTGGCCTATCTGTAAAAGTGAAACGTTTTCAAATGCTTTCTTTCAACTTAAGACGGTTAAGACGAGAATGCTGATCGTTTATTGGCGAGAAAACGGTAAAAAAACAAACATGACACGAGACATCCACAAGAATTTTCTTGGTTTTCTACTGCGTTTCAACCAAACATCATTAAAAAAACGTTGCTTAAAAAGTAACCACAAAAAAGGGCAAATTTTATATAAAATAAAAAATATTGCTTATTTAAAAATAAAATTATTTTTAAAAATTTGCACTCTGCTTGAGCTGAAAACAAGAAACGTTGTATGAAAGAGAAATTAACCAACCAGGATAAACCTAATCCTTGAGTGAATGCATATGCAATCTGACCTTACAGCGTAAAATTAGTTAATTATTTAAGCACAATTACAATCTGGATCATGTGTGGAATAATAAATGTCTTTTCGTTTGTGAAAAGCGAACTAAGACAAGCAGAAGGAAAAAATAAGAGAAAACTTTTAATTTAATTGATCTTCTTGATTATAAGAAGTGAAATATTTAAAAAAAATATTTCTTGCGAAAAGAAGCTTTCATCACTAAAACAAAACAATAAGGATTTCTCCAAGTAAAATATAATTCGATGTCGTCACCAAATACATACAATTTTGGATAGTTTATACGTTCGTATTTCTGGGTGTTGTTCTTGAAAAATTCAATAATCACCATATACATACAATTTTGGATAGTTTATACGTTCGTATTTCTGGGTGTTGCTCTTGAAAAATTCAATAATCACCATATACATACAATTTTCGATAGTTTATACGTTCGCATTTCTGGGATTCGTTCTTTAAAAATTCAATAATCACCAAATACATACAATTTTTGATAGTTTATATGTTCGTATTTCTCCTTTAAGCCTTGGTTGCTTGAGAAAACGCCGTACAATACGCATTCGGCTTTTGCCATATCGCTTTCATTGTCTTAACACAATGGTAATCTACGACTATCAGATCCTTTCGCTTGCAAAATCCGCGGATAAAAGCGGAAATATTCGGCCGCCCCGGGAGATGAGGTGAGAGGCGGACAACAAAGCGGCTTTTATAAGGTAGCGCAATGACTTTCCGTATTCCATATAAGGGAAATTCTCCAGGTGGCCACACCTCTCCATAACAACTAGACGTTACGTGTTCTTTGGAAAGTAAACAAAGAAGAGTGACCTTCCCTCAATTCGCTCTAATGTCCTAGTAGCAAATATGCTTTGTGTTATTACAGTAATGAATGTTCTACTTTGAATAAGCCTTGATTTAGGGTTTGAATTTGTACGTTGTCCTCCTATTGTCTCAAATATGTAAATTATTTTTCTTAGATTTAATTCTTTACCCCGTTTAGATATTTAAAGGTTAAAGATGATATATATCTACGGTGTGTGTGTGTGCGCGCGCGTGTATGTGTCTGTCTGTCTGTCTGTCTCTCTCTCTCTCTCTCTCTCTCTCTCTCTCTCTCTCTCTCTCTCTCTGAGATGTGAGAGAAAGAGAGAGAGATAAAATATTTAAAAATACAGAACCAACAAATAAAGAAATACATATACAATTTTCGTGGTGAACTATTCGTAATATTTAATAAATATATAGATATGCGTATAGACAAATAGATACACATATGTATAGATGGTGAGAGAGAGGGAGGGGGAGAGAGAAAGAGAGGGAGTGAGAGGGGGACAAAGAAGTATATTTAAAATTTTCGTGTTCACATTGTTAAACATTCAGAATAAAAAACAAATATACATAACTTTTTCGTGTTATAGTCGTATGTAATATTTAACAAATATATCCATCACAAATGGATATACTAATCCTATCAGTCTCCTTCCTGTAATTAGTAACATTCTCTAGAAACTCCTATTGAAACGCGTATACCCTATCATTTAACCCCAAGAAACTATTTCGAGTCACCAGTTTTGATTTAGGTCCCTACATTCTACAATCCATCGATGACATCTGGAGGACGTCATTTCATTCTCACTTGAGCAAAAGCACTGTTGTCCGGGTGAGTTCGTTGACATCGCTCAAGCCTTTGAAAGGGTTTGGCACCCGGGCCTCCTGTGGAAACTGAAAAGCATGCTACCCAGGACCTACTACCTTATCATAATATCGTGCCTGACTGACCGTTACTTCAAAGTTCTTCAGGGCACAGCGATATCCTCTGTTTATCTAATCCAATCTGGCGACCCACAAGGGAGCATTCTTGGACCTCTTCTTTACACGATACGTACTGCTGACATTCCTAACCTTCCAGAAACAATTTTCTATGCTTTTAATGATGATATAGCAATCCTTTTCCCGCATAAAGATCCAGTCGTCGAATACTGAAATCTTTAAAACCATTTGCGGTGTCTCGACGTTTGGTATAAAAAGTGGAGTATTAAAATATATGCAACAAAGAGCCAATACATTAACTCCACACAAAGACGTATTATACTACCACATGTTTACTTTAACAGGAATTTCTCTACACACTGTCGAACCGTACGTTGCTTAGGAAACCACCTGGACAAACGAATTACTTAGAATCCGCACACAAAACTAAATCGAAACGAACTAAAGAGACAGTAAACCTGTTATTTCCATTACGCGACAGACGATCGAAACATCCACATAAATACAAAAGATTAATAAACCATAGTTCTCAAACGTATGTGGTCTTGAGGTATCGAAGTCTAGGTGTCAACCAACTATTCCAATTTCCAACTCATCCAAAGATTCCAATTAAAAATCCTAAGAAAATATTAACCCTCATTATTATGTATCAATCCTCACGCTATACCGAGATTTCATTATTTACTTCGTTTCTGAAGTAGCGAAATTTTATTAACAAAAATTCCATCAATCCCGTTCCCCACATCAGAATGCATGGTCCGTCAGCTCAGTTTCACTACCATCACTGAAATGCCAATGGCCGAAGAAAATTGTAAATATGGTCACTATTTATTCTTCCTACCAAAGCATAAATAGCAGATCACCAAGTCTAAGGGCTTCGTCTTCTTTAGTTCAGTATGCTTACTTCTTCGTTATTATCCAACAACTGGAAAGCTTGCTCACTTTGATGCTGGTGAAGCCTTTGCTTATGATTCACAGCAAAGAGTTAGATGGCAGCACTAACAGTTTCCACCAGGAGGTCCCGATGTAGATCGTCGTTGCGAATGTACCATGGTGCATTCACAATGCTCCCTAACACTTTGTTTTGAAACGTCTGTACCTTTTCACATCAGTTTTCTTGGCACAGACCCAAAGCTGTATACCATTAGTCCATACAGGCTTTAGAACTTGCTGGTAAAGGTGCACCTTGCTGTGAGAATCCAATTATGAATATCGACCAAGGGGCCAGTACATTTTCCGAAATTTGATTTTGAGTTCTTGACATTTTTTCTTAAGATGCCTTTTACACTTGAATTTGGCATCTAAGGTCATGCCCAAATACTTCGCTGTATTTGCATATGATACCCTAGTTGCATTCAGGTCTAATATAATTGGTGAAGTTAACATGCACAGATTTTGTCTCGTTTAATTGAATGCGCCATCTTACTTAGAGACCTCTGTGAGAGCTGTGTGAAGCTTGGCCGTTGCTTCTTTAACACTGTCTCCAATAGCCAAGATGGCGGTATCATCCCCAAACGTAACCACTGTAGTCGGATCTTTTTTAGGCAAGTCACTCCTGAATAGAAGGTATATTCTATAGATATATTCTTATATAGAAGGTATATATAATAAATAGGAGAGGTCCAAGGACACCGCCCTGTGGCACTCCTGCTGATCTCTCTTAGCGTTGAGTACCCATCATAATGTCTAACTCTGTGAAAAGTTAAAGATAAATGTAATCTTAATGAAATACAATTGCAATTGAAAAATGTCTTATTCTAAGAACCAAAAATGTTTATTAGAAAGTTTTAACAAATTTATTCTATATCTGGGAAGATTTTGGCATGTATAGAGTATGTTCTAGTTAAAATTTGAAAACGATCATAATAATTTTAATGGAAGCTTAGTGTAATATAAAGCAAATTTGTCATGTTGAATTTTATTCCGGTTACCACCACACTGAAAAGTTTCTAAATGTCCTTTTTATGTGGAAGTAACCGGCAGCGACGGGATGAATACTGTTTGAACCTGTTCCACAAGTGAGAGAGAAAAAAAGACAAAAAGGCAAAGTTGTTTTTGCTAAAAGGCCAGAACAATGACATCAGTTTTCCCTTCAAGGCATTTTAGCTGTGTCTAAACGGTAAACGTTCCGTTCTACTTTCTTCGGTCTCATGTCATACAGCTCATTTTGTCTCATTAATTTACACTTTTCTTGTAACCTTTGTATCGCAGAAAGAAACCCCGCATTCGGGAAAATTTTCTCAATTATATTTTCAAAGATGTAACGGTTTTTAACGGAAAGGAGTTTGGGAGAAACAACGAAAGGTTTTATTCTTTTTATGATCTATACCAAAGCGATAAAGGGTAACACGGAAAAAATAATAAGGTTTAAACTGATCCGTCTTTTGAAAAACGTAATAGAATTTGCCGAGGGAATCAACAACAATTATTAAAAACCGCAGAAATAGCTATGAAATAATGCATTTCCTGCGTTTAACTTCAGGTTTCTATCGTATTCCCACTCGTTTCTGGTATAACAATTACACAGCTAACATGATATATAATCTTTATTAAAAAGTCAACTTTTGTAAATCGGATGCAAAGTTACAGTCGAAAAATAGTACGTTTGAAAATGTTTCAAGCTAATAAATGCAGCTGTACTAATCGTACTGATAATTACAATACAACAGAATTCAATATACAGTACATATCGAAATTGATTGATCGATATTGACCTACTTGTGTTGAAACACATTAATATCCTTCAACCTAGGATAATTCATTTATTATGTTTAATTGAAGGCTTCTTAAATCGTAGCTATCTCTCCAAGCCATATAGTCAATCAGAACTTGCAGTCTACTAAGAAAAGGGAAGCCTCGGACGTGGAACCAACGATTTTAGTCGTCAAATATTACACAAGGTCGGAGCTTTTATGCCAAAGAGCCCTAGGAGCAGAAAAAAATTAATTAAAATACTTTTTCAAATTTTTTGCGTGTATTTCAAGGTTATCATATATCAGTAGATTTGTGTGGAATAGAAAAATAGTAAGCAAGATTTTATTTAAAGAAGTTAGATATATAAAAGGTTGCAAAAATCAAAAGATCCGTTCAGTGAAGTAGGGCAAAATACATTATATAAAAAAATCGGATTCGTTTTAAGCATCATCACCATTAATGTCGATTTCTCATTCCAATGAAAATGCGTTTTTTCTCTGAGATGCTCAGCTCCTCTGAATTTTTATCCAAATTCAACATTATTACAACCCATTTACGTTTTAGTGGCCAATAAACCAAGTCCTTTCAATTAATTATTCTTTTTATGTAAGGTCTTGGTTGAGATAAAAAGTCAGTGTCACGAGCGGGATTCGAACCCACGACCTCAGCTAAATACATCGCTGCTCTACCACCTGAGCTATCGTGACCGTCGTGGGTTCGAATCCCGCTCGTGACACTGACTTTTTTTATCTCAAACAAGACCTTACATAAAAAGAATTATTACAACCGTTGGAAAGCAAAATATTTCATCTTTCAGTACCAACATTGTTTAGATTTTATGCGAGTGAGAATAATAAAAATGAATTCAACAAAAGTTCAAACTATTTCTTCAACATTTTTTTATTCTCCGGTTTCAGTTTGATTATAGAGGCGATGTTTGTGCTATTTCATGGGTTCATAAAGTTCTAAACTCTGGAAAGCTTCCTGTTGAAAGGCTAAGATTGGCTCGAAATTATCACTATTTGTTTTAATTTTGGAGAAAGTTGCATTTTGATATACCAGAAATTTGAGTGAAATTTTTTTCCTCTCAAACTTGTATTCAAAGGGTCTTTTGGGGAGCGAACATCAAATTGGTTTTCGTCTATAGCTGCCAAATACAATTTTGACATAGTGACGAACATCTTAGATGTACGTTAAATTTCTTTTTCACAAGAAACCCCAAAACCTCCCTAAATAACCTTGTTTGGTATATAAAAAACATATTTTTTGTATATTTTTGTCCCACAATTTTTTCGAACACACAAAATTGGCGATAACTTGAAAGACTTCATTGACCTACACAAAATTTTAAGGGGATTGAAAGTCCCCTAAACTTCGGCTTTCATCAATAAATGAGAACAGTACATATATGGTTTGTCATATGTTGAGGTATTTTTTTTCTGATTTCATCCTTCCTGATAACGCAATGACCAGAAGTTGATATGGGCTCCAACTAACGAAATATTGCTTTCTAACAGTTAGTACATTTGATAAAATTCAGATACGTTATGAATTTTTATGTGAAACACCGGTCATCGTAGATTAAAAAAATTGCACCCGACTAATAGAGCCCCAAAAAGGTCAATTTTGGGTGATGAAAATTAGTATTTGTTTTGTTTTTCAGAAGCAATTTTTTTCTATTTTACTCCAAACGTCCAAGGTTTTGTTAACATTTTATTTGTGTATCCTCCAAAATTTGTTTATCCTAAATTAAAAAATCAATTCGAGTGATATATTATAACCTTGAAATGTACCACAACTAAGGCAGAAAAGCATTATAACAAGTATGTACATTACTTTTTTCCCTCCTTCTAGATTGGTAACATAGCTTGAACATATTGTGTCTTATATTTTTTTAATTTTCTCCAAAAATGTTTCGTTAAAATCTCTCATCTTTCGCCCGTAGCCTCCCCTTATAAGTAACAAATTTTCTTTTTCGAGAATAAAAATTAAAAAAGGAAATTGTTTGACGGTTTTTTAAATTTCTGCAAGAATGGTAAAAAATGTCTCCCGTATTTGGAAAACCATCTGGTTCGTTATTTGTAACAAGATACTAAAGTTATAAAAATGATGGTAAAAGAGCAGAGTTGAAAGAAGCAAAAGCAGATCGAAAACTCGTAATTTTCCTTTTCATTCCAATTTTTACTACCAACTTTCACTTTTGGCGACATGTGCGCCCATAAGTTACACGGAATCCCTTTCCGACTTTTATTTAAGACACAGGGTGTCATAGTTCTTATGATTTTACTGACTTTGTTTCATATAATTTTTATTTAACAAAAAAAAACTTAAAAGAGAAAAACGTTCAAACTGCTTGAATAATACCGCTACTTGACACACAAGGTTATTAGAATTAGAACTTTGAAGGACAGCCAAGGATTTCCTTTCTTTGAGTTCAAGATACAAGGCTGCTAAGGTCCCCAGCTATATTTAAATCGCATTTCACTACCTATACACAAATAAATTTAACTGGGTCAAAAATGGATCAAGTTTTACAATCGATTCTTAGGTCTACAAGCAGGTAGATTTACCAACCGTAGATTTTTATAAGTTTTTCGTCGCTAAACAAGCCTTGTGATGTTGCGTAAATCCAGGCTAAAATTCCCATTAGGCCGTGATTAGAAAAAATGATATAATCGACAAGAGACAGTCGGTCGGTCACGGTTTACGTCCGACTTCCGCTTGGGAACATCTGGTTTCACGTTTTCACGAAATTGTTATGTTAATGGCTAAAAGGGCAATGCCCTGAAGTGCATTGTCGAGGAAGCGATCGAAGTCTGCTTTTTTACGTTTCGACCTACAACGGCAAACAAGAATATGTGCATGTAAACCTTTTTAACGTGTCTTCTCATAAGTCATTCCAGAGGGAGGCAGCGCCTATTAATCGAGATTCGTCTTGAATAGTTCCCACAACTCGTACGAAAGAGAAATCCTTAAACATTAATAATTATATAATCAATTTCTGAACGGTTTTGTCTTCTGGCAATTGTAAGGCTTACTTTCGAACAACCACTAAGGGGCAACCTGTCTTAATTGTGAAAATCGTGAAAAGTTCAACAAAACACACACACACATATATATGTATATATACATATATTCCTGTGTATATTCCTGTTTTTCAAATATTACTTTCGAACAATTTCGTCATGGTTCTATACAAGGTTTATCTATTTAATCAGCTCTTTATTGCAAGAATATATATTTATTTTATCTTTTTTCTGTTGCTATTTAAACAGCATTAATTTAATATTATATATCTACAACTTATGTTTTTACGTAAGTGCTAAATAATGCTTTCAGAGAGAGTTCCTCATATGAAAAGACATGCCATTAAAGACCGACTATCAGACATTGAGTATTATTACCAAATTAGGAATCAGTTTATTCATTGTTAGAATCAGTGAAACATACGTCAAAGGGCCAATTAAAACTTTTTTATACACAAATGTTCGGTGGTTTTCTTCCCTTCCTAGGCTAAAATCTGAACAATTTTAACACAAAATAGAAGATAAATGCTATACTCTAGAAGTTAAATTTCACTATTTTGATATTTATAATCCTTATTACTGATGTCTTTAAAAGTAATTCATACAAAGCTTTACAATTTAGTAAAAATATTTTGGTAAATAAAGGCTTAAGGTACGAGGCGGTCTCTAGGACACCGTCGTTTAAGGCGACGTGTCGGTTCCTCAGTATGAAAAGGTGTAGGCTTGGCAGTAGGGTTAGGATGGTTCAAGAGCTTGGTATGGAACCTTTAGAAGCAAGAACAGATGAGCTTGTGAAGCTGGCTCGTGTTGCCTGACGCGCATGGTCGCCTTAAGCAGCCTCTGCATGCATTTGGATGACAGGAGCAAGGAAGCGTATAGCGTGCGAGGACGCTGAGACTACGCCTACCTAGTGCCTTGAGATGCATTAAGGTGCTATACGATTATGATACCAGATCCTGTCTAAAATATATTTTATATATATTAAAACCATCTGTACTGCGGGGCAGCGTATTTTCGTTCCAAGTTCAAGCCCAGCTGCATGGGTAAGGACTCGCAGTGTCTGAGTGGTGAGACCCCTGGCGGGTACCTAGGATGTTTGTGTGCGTTTCATTCGTGGCCGTGGACGGTAGTACTTGCTTATGACCTCCGAATTACCTCCCGACCTCGTGGGAATCGGATGGATTGGATTGCCTAGAGCGTATATAGCCAGTGAGGACCTATGAATACGCTGCCGGCGTCCCTCGAATGCGTCAGGAATGGTGGACGGTGCTTTTGGTGGCGACCGTCAGAGCTGCCTTTACCGTGGGCATGGTCTCCTCTAGGGGA